TATATATGTATTTAATTCTTTATTGTATGTAAATTTTAACTTTATTATATCTTAACTCTTTATTATATGTTGTATATCGAATATCATTGAAACTCGATATACATTATAATAAAATTAAGATATAGTAAAGTTAAAATGAAATATTATTAAATTTTAAAATATAATTATATTATTTATTTAATTCCTTTTCCTATTTATAATTAAACTTCTTTATTTTAATTCTTCTTTTAATTTCATCATAATAATTATTTCTTCATTATCGAAATTTAACGATTTAAACTATTGAAGCAATTTTTTAATTTAATTATTCTTTAATCGTTTGGAACATTTGATCTTTTCATATTCATTCTTTTAATTTTAAATTATGAATTTACTTCTTTATTTTCATTCTTCCTCTCTAATTTCATTATAATAATTATCCATCACTTCATTAATGAATTTTAACCATTTATGTCATTGAAATAATTTTTCCAATTCAATTAAAAAACGTGTAAGAGAATGATCATATCATTTATCTTTTTTATAATTCATATAGCAAGAGAAGGAAAACGTAGAATGATCATATCATTCATATCATATCATATCATTTACCTTATTGATGATTTAAAATTTATTATAAATTTTCAAAATACTATCTATTACTATAACGCGTATAATTTCTTTTCAGGATTGTACTCGTTATTTGGCTATCCATTTTAATCATTAATACATTTATCGATATATATAATTTGAACTTACTGGTAAATAAACAATTTAAAGTATGAGTTTTGTTTATTTTTAAAATTTTAATTTTATTTAAATTTTTCGAAAGATTTTATTTTAAAAAAAGGCAAAGAAATTAATAACTTAATTACACAACTAATAATTAATATCTTTTTGTTCTATTTTTTTTTTCTCTAACATTTTATCATATCATACTTGTAATGTTGAAATCAGAAAAAAAAAGACAGTTAAAATTAATGTTACAGGTAATTTATTGATTAAATTAAGAATATTAAAATTACAGGTAATTGCACAATGTATATCAATATCTCGAAATGCAACTGTAGCATTAAGTACAAAACGTTCGCATAAATATCATTCAATTCAAGGCTTACAAGTTATTACAATATCAATTATTGTTACAGCTAATTGCTTCATCTATATTCTACCATATATTGGTAATTTCATTTTTTCAATTTACTTTTCTTTTTTCTTTTAAAATTTTTATTCAAATTTTAAATTTCTGTTTTTACAAAAAGAATTTCGTAAAAAAGTGCCAATTTTTATTAATTATTATTAATTTGTAAATTAAATTATTCCCAATATTTCATTCAATATCTTTTTTTTGTTTTATTTAAATTAATTAAATTGAACTTTTTAAAAATTTTTTTTGAAATGTAGAATTGAATTCTTAAGTGAAATAAGTGAATTGAATTTTGAAATAAATGAATTGAAACTCTTAAGTGAATTGAACTCTTAAGTGAAATCTTTTCAGAAAATGTTTTATTCTCATATGAAAATGTCTATAGTTGGCAATTTCATCCATTAAATAATTTCACCTATCATATTGATGGTTTAATTGCTATCGATACATTACTTACATCATTATTGGTTCAACGGATACTTGAAACAACAGATGATATTAAAAAGCTATACTTTAATCGGCTATTACAGTCTGTACTGTTTCTATATATTTTTATATTTTTTTCAAAAAATTATTTATCCATTTTAATTAATAAATTTAATCTAATTTAGTCAACGTTTTTTTTTTAATTAATTATCATTATCATTTTCTTAGTTGTTTTTTTACCTATAAATTTTAAGCATATTAAATAAGCTATTACGGTCTTTTTTCTTTTATTTAGCTATTTAATATATTTCATATATTTATTTCAATACTATTACTGTAATCATTTTTGACAGTGATATTTTGGTATACTTTAAATAAACACCTATTTATCATTTCTACATATTTAAGACTTATACTTTAATTACTCGATTATTCCAATTTATCATTTATCCCAAGATTTAGTAGTGCAATATTCTAGAAAGTGTTACATGTATGATACGTGAAATATAATAGATTATTCCATAAATTTTAGTTCACTGCGTTTTACACATATCTAACGTACAACATTTTCTAGGATACTTCCAGTATTTACATTCTGGGTAAAATGTAATAGGCATTTCATGCAGAATGTAAATAAGATTTTAGTCCACTACATTTTACATATTTCACGTACAGCACTTTCTAGGACACTTGCGGTATTTACATTCTGCGTGAAATGTAATAGGTTATCCTAAAATTTTAATCTGCTATATTTTACATATCTCACGTACAACATTTTTTAGGACACTTCTAGTATTTTTACGTTCTGTGTGAAATGTAATAGGCTATCCTAAGATTTTAGTCCACTACATTTTACATATTTCACGTACAACATTTTCTAGGACACTTCCGGTATTTGCATTCATAATCCTGTTTATGACATTCTTATATGAACGTTTATCATCTGGACCAATATGGATGCATGATGATTTGATTGCACGTTGCAAAAATTCATGGTGGAAAAATCTTTTATTTATCAATAATTTTTTTTCATCTCATCAAACGGTATTTATTTTAATAAATTTTTTTAATTTAAAACTTTTGAAATTTCAATTAATTTATTAATGATTACTTTTATGTTACTTTAAATAACAGTAATGCAAGAAATCAATAATTTAGTTATTTAATATTTCAAAAAACTTATCATTACTAATAAATTATTAATCTGATAATTATGTAGTAGATAAATCGATTAGATAAATTGATAACTTATAAATTTGATAATTAATAATTAATCAATAATAATTATAGTGCTTAGATGGAGGCTACCTGTATTCACTGATAATACAATTCTTCCTATTACTTTTACCAATGCTTTATATATCGAAGCGTTACTACACCGCTGTATTAGCTGTTGCTGTATCAAGCCTTTTTGCTTCAATCATTTATACATTTCATGAAGTGTTAAATACTAAATTACCACCAACTTTATTGCTTACAACAGATATGATACCGTAATTTATTTCAAACATTTTGCTTTTTTCTAATGAAATTTTAAATTTTTAGAAAACTAAGAAAACAACAAAAATATTTTTAAATTTTTTCCAATAATACTTTTAAATATTTGTGAAATAATTCTTTACCAAAAAAGAAATCAATAAATTTTTATTAATCAAAATTTAATAACTCATTTTTAACAGATATATATGTTTGTTTCTTTTTTGATAATATTTTCAGTCCTAAAATTTATGAGACATATATTGATTTATTGTATACCAAACCATGGGCACGTGTACCGGGATTTCTTATTGGTTTCCTATTTTCTTTTCTATTTGTTAGTCAAAAATCAATCAATAATGTAAGTTTTTTCCTTTTTTAAGGCAATTTAAATAAATTGGAAATTTATTGCATAACTAATGCATAATTAAAATTAATCGCTATGTTTGATATCAGCAGAATTGAATATTTGTATATTTAAATAAAATTGAATACTAATGAATAAGCCTTATTGTTATAAGAATATAACTATAATTAAGCCTTATTGTTAAAGCATTATAAATAATATTAATTTACAATCAATATCTTTTTGTTCGTATAAAAAATGATAGAAATGTTAAAAATAATTGTAACAATAAAATTATAACATAAAATTACAAATCATCTCTATTCTGATAGCAAATATTGATCACAATAAATGAAATAACCCACAAATAACCCTTATTGTTCTCGCAATATATAAGGATAATATAATTGTCATAAATAATCTTTATTGTTATCCTTATTGCTCTCGTAATATACAAGGATAATATAATTGTCATAAATAATTTTTATTGTTATAGTAATACAATTAAGCATAGAATTATAAGTTTCTTATTAACAAATATGCAAATGAAACCCTTATTGTTTTCGTAACAAATGCAAATGTTCACAATAAATAAAATAACCCACAAATGACCCTTATTGTTTTTGTAATATACAAGGATAATATAATTGTGATAAATAATCTTTATCGTTGCAGTAATACAATTACACATAGAATTATAAATTTCTTATTAGCAAATATGCAAATAAAATTCTTGTTGTTCTCGTAATAAATGCAAATATTGCTCACAATAAATAAAATATCCCACAAATAACCCTTATTGTTCTCGTAATATAAAAGGATAATATAATTGTAATAAGTAATCTTTGTTGTTATAGTAATACAATTACACATATAATTATAAGTTTTGGTAAAATTAAAAGCTATGCGGAAAAATGAAATAGCAATGACAAAATGAACATAACAAGAATTTAGGAATTGTAATTTAAATAATTAAACAAATTATTTTAACAGTGTAAATAACAATGCAAAATAATTAATAAACGAATTTAAATGAAAAATTAGATAAATTTGAATTTAAATAAATTAATAAATAAATTAATTAAAACAAGAAAATTAATTAATTAAAAGAAAATATGATGAAATTTTTAGCATTTACTACTGCTTGCTCCAATAACACTTTTCATATTTGGTATATTTGTTATTTTTGGACTCTATCCGTACTCTATCGGAAATTCAATTCCACAAATTTATCTTGCCGTATATTCGGCACTTCATCGACCACTTTGGGCATTTGTTATTTGTTCGCTTGTTTATTTATGTTATCGAAATTGCAACATTGGTAAGAATATATATTTTATTATTGCAGTATTTATATGCATTTATATAGCGATATAATTAGCTACCATAAATAATAATAGTGAAAAGAAACGTTTAACCATTTTAAGTTTATATATTTTACACTTTTATATTATTTTCAAATTTATAAATTTGTTTACTATAAATATCTATATAAATAGCATAAATAATATTAATAAAAAACTATAATGAAAAGAAACATGAACCATTTTTAATTTATATGTTTTATAAATTTTTGTATCAATTTAAATTATAGGTATGATATTTTAGGTATTTTTAAATTTGTAAATTTATTTATCATATTTATTGATATTTAATTTGTTTATCGTATATAAATTTCTTTATCATATCCATAATTGTTTAATATATTTTACCCAATTTTGATATTTTTAGATATTTTGATAATTCAGATCATTTATAAATCTATTATTTATTGACATATATTATTATCTTTGTTTTTTATCGTAATTAAATTTCTTTATCATATCTATAATTGTTTAACATATTTTATACTATTCTGATGCTTTAAAGATATTTTGATAATTCAGATCATTTATAAATCAATTTATCACATTTATTGACATATATTGTTATCTTTGTTTATTTATCGTATTTAAATTTCTTTATCATATCCATAATTGTTTATCATATTTTACCCAATTTCGATATTTGTAGATATTTTGATAATTCAAATCATTTATAAATCAACTTATCACATTTATTAACATATATTGTTACCATTGTTTTTTCATTTAAAAAAATTATACGATTTAAATTTTTAGGTAAACTTTTACATTTTCTTGAATGGCGAATATTTTCACCATTCGCTAAAAATATTTTTGTGGTATTTCTAATTTCCGAACCAATATCGCTATATCTTTTTTCATCATTACATCGACCATTACATGCTACTATTTGGTCATTGGTAAGTTTTAACAAAAATAGATTTTATTTTTACTTCAAAAAATCACAAAAAGAAATCATAATAAAATCATAATAAAATCATAATAATAAAATCATAAATTAACAAAATTAGTAATCATATTATTAATAATAATTTTAAGGAATTTAATTTCAAATTAAAAAAATCATCTTTTTGTTTTTACACAAAATATAAATTACATGAAATTAATTTTGAAATTATCACAATTTTTCTTTTTAATTCTAATCTTACCAATAAATTAATAAGTTTTACAAACAAATTAATTAATCTTATAAACAAATTAATTAATCTTACAAACAAATTAATTAATCTTACAAACAAATAAACATTATTTTAATGATTGATGGAATTTTTAAACTTAATTTAATTTCTTCTATCCAGCTTAATATTGCAATTGGAACAATTATTTTATCAAATTTTGGTGCATTTTTATTGGATATATTAATTGCGATGCCAATACAAAATATTATATTCGAATTGCTAAAAGATGAAAAAAGGATGTTTGTGTTACATTAATTCTTATCAATCGAATTCATCGTTTACTTATCAGTGATACGGAAAGAAATAAGATATCAATCGAAATTAATTAGTTTAAAAATGTTTAATGAAGTTAATTAGCATTTCAAATATTACCGAAATTATCTTTTGATTCTCTTCTCTCTAATATTTCATATATGAAAATCTAAATGTATTAATTCGATTTCAAAAATCATTATCAAAATTTTCCTACAAGAATGAAAAACTGAACTAAAAAAGTTTTTATTGTTTTTGATTGATTATTAATGAAATAAATTTTTTTATATTGAATTGTATGGAACGCAAAATTAACACATCATCTTCATACATGTATAGTTTTAGTAATAGATTTATATTTTAGTAATGAAAAATTGAAATCAAGAAATAAAATAAATTTGTAATTCAATTCAAATTTAATTACAAATTTTGAAATATCGAAATCAATCTTTAAGATTTCAAATAATATATATTTCTATTATTGAGTACCACTGTGAATTCTTTTTGTTCATATTACTGAATTACGATATAGCTTTGAATGTCAGAAATCCATTTTAACCTGTAAATAAACATTAATGTAATGTTAAATAAAAAAAGATTTAATAGCATCTACAGTCTCATTTTGTTATTAATTAATTAGCAGTCTGCTCATTTACCACAATATTAACATTTTCAGTCTTAATTAGTAATTCATTTACAAACAAATGCGATATTCATTGAAAATATGTTATTATAAAAGAGAAAATATATTTTGAAATTCAATTTTGAAATTTAATTTTATAAATATATGAAATTTTCACTTTTTTTTTAAATTAAGAAATTATAAAAGTTTACCTGTTTACCTTTTTCATCGTTGCTATTTCTTGCAGTTGAAAATAACACTTTCAGTTAATATTAACATTTGAAATGGTTGTTTCAACAGATTCATCCATGTTTGATTTACAATTAGCCAAATTATATTCCGATGGATATTGATGATATTTGAGGATTGACATCGAAATATATATCACCATTATAGTTAGAATAATAACATATTGATAAAATTTATAAATTAAATATTCGTATGTAATATCCAATTCTAATCCCAAACTATTCCAAAACATTTTTTTTCAAAATATTTGACAATTGAATAAATCTAAAGAAAGAAATGCGATATTAGAATTATTTGATATATTTCGCATTGTAATATTGGAGCTATAATAAAGCATGAAAGAAATGGAATGAAATGGAATGAAATGAAATATATTGAAATGAAATGAAATAGAATGAAATAAAATGAAATGAAATGAAATGAAATGGAATGGAATGAAATGAAATGAAATGAGATGGAATGAAATGGAATGAAATGAAATGGAATGGAATGGAATGAAATGAAATATAATGAAATGAAATGAAATAAAATAAAATGGAATGAAATAAAATGAAATGAAAAGAAATGAAATGAAAAGAAATGAAATGAAATAGAATGAAATAAAATGAAATGAAATGGAATGAAATGAAATGGAATGGAATGAAAAGAAATGAAATGAAATGAAATGAAATGGAGTGGAATGAGCAAATTAATTTCGAATATTAATTTAAATGAATTAAATAAAATTCTCTTCGACAATATAATAACTTAATTGTATATGCTAAAAATGCAACCATAAGTTTTCTGCAAAAAATCTCTTCGCTACAACAACTAAAACTGACTAACTAATTATTTGAGAAATTTGTTGTTGATGAATTTAGCAATGAAAATGATTTGTTTATACGAATATTGAATACAGCTGTCCAACAACAACAGCAATATTATTTGTAAAATAAGATAGCGAAAAAAAGAAAGGTGGAAAAAAAAGATGAAAACAGGTGTGTAAAGTTTTGTAATGGATGATAAATTTTGTTAGAAATTTCAAGCTAAAAACAATTGACTAATAAAATTTGAAATTTCTTTTTATTTTGAAATTATTTTTGAAAGAAAAAAATTTAGGATAGTTTAAAACATACAAATACATTTATTAATAATAATAACTTCTTAAAACAATGAGAAAACAAATAGTTGAAGGTAGCATTATTGTCTGTTATCTAAAAGCACTTAAATATCTAAATACTTAAATTTAAATTCTAATCAATTATCGTTCTTGAAGCAACAGTAAAGCATACAAATACATTTATTAATAATAATGATTCATTAAAACAATGAGAAAATAAATAGTTGAAACAGTATTATTGTATCTTATCTAAAACTACTTAAATATCTAAATACTTAAATTTCAGTTCTAATCAATTATCATTCCTGAAGTATTCATTTCCAATAAATTAGTGAGAAATTTTTTTTTCAATCAAAAATTTCGAATATTTTCAATGTCAAACAGTTAAAGGTTATTTTGTGGTCATCCATTTCATTTCATTCTCACATAGTTAATAATAACAATAAATTGTGAATGAAATTGGAAAAATTAAGTGCAAACGGCGAAACGTCCAATTGACGGAATGGAACGGAACGGAACGGAATGGCGTAAAAAAGGGAAAGTTAACAATTTCATATTTCTCTTTTGCTCGTTGGAAAAAAAATGTCATTTCTCTCAGTATCATCAAAATTAAAACTTACCTTTAGCTTGGGAAAATTTTCGGCTACCATGGGAATTGTTATATTTCATTCTTTTACTGTTCCTTTACTGCCACACACACACACACACACATATAGTTCCTTTCATCAATCCCGTTTTATTCAATTTTTTTTTCAGTGAAATGAATGAAAGAGTTTTTTTCATATGTATCCGCGATAATAAAATACATAAATTCAATTTATACATTTGATAAATCTATTTCAATTCAACTCTTCGTCTACTTCATTTATTTCTAAAATTTTTTACAGTTCAATTAACCGATATATGAAATGAATAATTAATCAATGAAATAAATTATAATTTGGCATAGTTTTTATTGAATCATTCGGATTTCATTGATTGGAAATAAAAGGGAATTTATCAAATCACTCAAATCATTTCGAAGGATATCGCAAAATTTCGAAGAAAAAAGTGGATTATTTTGTAATTTTTACTCCCTTCAACTTTTTTCCAATTTATGCTATACTTTTTCTAATTGTTTTGTTAAGTGATAATTTAAATTAATTTAATTGAACAATTTAATATGCTAAATAAAATTAATTACAATTTGTTTCTGTATATTTTTCACTTAGTGAATACCATTCTTTAATTTCTCATTTCATTAAATTTTTAAATATTGCTAATTTCTTCAGAAACAGCATTTACCTGTTTATTGTATGATCGAAAAATGTTTTCTTCAATTCCGAACCGATCTTCTGAGAAAGATAAAATTTTAACTTAGTCCTATCGATTTGTAGGAAAAATTACTCAGTCTTCAACTTTTCGCTTTCAGACGATATCTACCACATTGTTGAAATTTTCACATAAAGCCACAGTATCATCATTCTTAAGTATCAAAAAAATAACGATTACAATTTGAAATTAGTTATTAAAGTATTCATTTTATTTACTGTAATTGAATGATAAGCAAAGTATTACCTCTTTGCGATATATTTTGTATAGATAGTTATTAATTCCATAGTATCATCATTCTTAGGTATCAAAAAAAATAACGATTGTAATTTGAAATTAGTTGTTAAAGTATTCATTTTATTTACTGTAATTAAATGCTAATCAAAGTATTTCCTCTTTGTGAATATAATTTTGTATAGGTAATTATTAATTCATAATGGATTTTTATATTCCTTCATTCAGATCACATATATAAATTTGATGTGTCACAGATAGAAATTATTGAACTAAATTGAAACCTTAAAATTTTACACTCATTTCATTGATGAAAGGGTATAAAGTGCGGGTTGAATTGAAAATGATACCTTTCAATTTTTGCGATATTACAAAGATAACTAATTAAATATATTCCTACACTTTCATTTTATCCTTACGACAACGACAACAATTTTGCTAATTTCAATTGATTCGTTTTTTTTTCATTCACTTTTCAAATATTTCGATCAATCCATTTTAATTGGTTGTAAAATGAGTAATACAATGTTACCTTTAATTTTAACACTTATATTACGTATTATTAGCAATTCGTTTAAATTAGAGTAATTCTATTTTAATCCAATTAGGCAATTATAAAAAAGTTTTAATTAATTATTTTAAAGAAAGGGTTTAATGAATTACTTATAAAGTAACTTTAAAAAATTTTTGAAGTATTGACAGTATGGTTCAATTTTACCTGCTCCATTTAAATTATAATAATTAATTTTTAGGTTTAATAAATTACTTACAAAAAAAATCTTAAAAAATTTTTGAAGTATTGACAGTATGATTCAACTTTACCTTTTCTAATTAATTTATAATAATTAATTTTCTGGTCTTAAAGTTTTAGAAAATTATGAAAATAATTAAAAATTTTTTAACTTTCTTAGATGAATTTTTCTTTTCTTTTCTCTTTTTGAAAAATTTCGATAATTAATAATTTTAAAAAATTTTTTCATCAAACTATTAATTATTACAATTAATCATTGTTTATCTTTTTTTGTTGATACTAAAAACCTTTGAAATAGGAATTTGAATTGAATTTTTAAAATAAGAAATGGGATTGAACTTTTGAAATAAGAATTTGAATTGAATTTTTGAAATGAAAGAATTGAATTCAACTCAACATATCATTCGTTTTTTTCCTCTTCGATAAGGTTATGCATAATTAAAATACTAATATAGACTTAAGAGAATGATAAAGAATATTGAAAAGAGAAAGAATTATGAAGAAAGCGATAGAAAAAAAGATTATATATATAATATTTAAAAATATGCATAACCTCATCACAATGAAATGAAACGAATAAATGCGTTACTGTTGGTCGGAATTATAATAGATCATTCATAAAATATTATTTATAATGGATGATCAATCGACTTCATCCATTATTATTACTGCCATTACTATTATTATTATCATTATCAACATCATCGTCATCGATATCATTATTGTCATCATTACTGTCATCATCATCATCATCATCAATCGTTATTGTAAAATTTTGGATCATTTTATAATATTTCACTAGAGCTAACCATATTAAATCTATCATTTATTGTTAACAGCATTTAAGAGCAAAAATTGAATATCCTATACATATACGCTTATGGCATAATATAGTTATATTCAATGATTATTTCGTTGTCATTATCATTAGGCTATTATTATTATTATTATAATCATTATCATTATCGCTATTTTTTACTGTCTATTTTAAATAACTTCCAAATATTCATTATCATAAATAACAAATAAGATTAAAATTTAAGCAAAAAGAATTCTTCAGAATTGGCCGGTAACAAATTTGTAATTAATTCATTAACATATTACGTTTAAAATTATATTTAAAAAAATAGTTACTTATATTTATATATATATTATTTGCTTACTATAAATAACTTATATATATCTTTCGATACTATTTTTCATCATAAATTTAAATATATGTATACATGTGAATTTAAATATATATCAATTTAAAATTTTTAAAAGAATAAAATATTGCAAGAATTCAATTTATAATATATTAGCTAATGTATAAATTGCTAGCTTAAAAATTACTGTAGATATTTGCAAAAAAGATTATAACAAAAATGTATATGTATCAATAGTATTTACTCCTATAATAATTAAGAAAATTTTTTAAAACAAAACATTTTGTATTAAATTTGTTAATTGTTAAACAATAGTTTTCTGTTTTGAGGAAATTTTCATTTAGTTAACTTAACTATAAACTAATAATATTGCTTCTATCAAATGAATAATTAAGAAAATTTTTTAAAGCAAAACATTTTGTATTAAATTTGTTAATTATTAAATAATAGTTCTTTTTTTTCAGGAAATATTTTTCATTTAGTTAACTTATTAGAATCATGAAGAAAAGTGACCATTTATTAGAATCATAAAGAATATAACCTTATTAGAATCATTTAGTTAACTTATTAGAATCATAAAGAAAAATGAATATTTATCAGGTAATGTCCATTTCGAAATTTAAAATGTCTATTTATTAAAATGTCTATTCCGAAATTTCTAAAATTGAAATTAACAAATATTGAAATGAAGCGGAACACGATCGCAAAATTATTTATTTCTTCTGCAACAAAAAAAAATATTCATTGGAAATAAAATGATGAAGAGAAGAAAAAGGAAATTAAAATGAAATGAGAAATTATTTGAGGTGTATAATTTGTTATATTCCTCTTTATCATTCAACAATATTAAAACAAGTAGTATTTCATATTTCATTATCACTTGTGAATAATCATTTTCTTCACATTGTTTTAAAGTAATTGTTAATTATTTTCAAAAATAATGAAATAGAAAAATTAATGGAAAAAAAGATTAAAATTAAATTTAAATTTAATTTTGGTAAAAATTTTATTAATTTATGATTTTCAATTTAAACAATTAAAAGTTTATTTTGCCTGATATAATAAATCAATCAAATAATTCATATTTTGTATTTAAGTTTGAGTGAAAAATTAAATTAAAATTCTGTACACCAAGAAAAACAAATGAAACTATAATTATCATTATCAATAACAACTTTCATATGCTACTATAATAATTAGGTGGCATATAACTATTAGGTTGCTGCCATTGATAGCCCGTCATTGGATCATAAACGTATGGTTTTACATCAACTTGTTCGCAGTATTTTTCAAAAGGAGGTAATTGTGTTGGTTGTTGATGTGGTAATTGATGTAGTGATGCTGGTGCCATATGTGATAATGGACCACCGGTAGCACCAGGATGTGCACCAAGATGTAATGATGGCCAACCACTTTCTAATAGTGGTGATGTGGTACCCTGCTGATGTTGTTGTTGATGTTGGTGATGTTGTTGCTGTTGCTGTTGTTGTTGTTGTTGTTGTTGAGCTGGTGAAGCTATTGTTCCATCAACTGAGCTACTTTCCTCTTCTTCACCTTCCTCATCATCTGTTCCCTGCCGATCATTACTAAATCCATTCTTCGACATCTTTTTATGCTTTGAACGGCGATTTTGAAACCATATTTTTACCTAAAAATGAAATAAGTTTAAAATTCAATTAACAAAACATTGTTTTAATAAAATTTTAGTAAATAATTTTTTGATCAAAAGATTAGAGAACATGAATTCGTAATCAAATAAAGTTTTATCTTGAATTTATCACTTTCAATTACTAATTAATGAATATCTAGAAAGGATTTATAATTTGATAGTTCTAGTAATTTGAAGTATTCAAATTATTCAGTAATCTGTTCTTTAAATTAAAATTCAATTTAATCCATTTCTATTCCTAATTATTTCTGTTCATAATTATTTGTTTATATAACTTTATTTGAATTAACAAAATGCAAATAATTGAATTAATAGAATTTATTATAATATTTTATATAATTAATCTAACTTAATTTACTATTCATATTCTAGAACAGAAATAATCAAATTACCAAATATTTTCATTTTGCATTCTTATCATGCATTATCGTTAATTATAATCCCTATGAAGTCTTTTAATATCATAAAAAACAAAAACATTTTGATTTCCATTTTTTGTATACTAGAAAATAATATCATTACAATAATTTCAAATACTATTTAGATTAATTTCTAGTTTTTTATATTCAATAAAAATTATCAAAATGTAATCCATCCGAATAATTTTGAATAAATTTAAACAAATCAATTGAAATTTAAAAAAAAAAAAAAAAAGAAATGTGAATGAACGTGACAGTAACAGTATCCAGTTTCCATATTCTATTCCGTAATATGTAACAGACAAAAGTGTTACGGTAGCAATGTGAAAATACAACAATCAAAATGGTTGACAAGCAAAAACGATGAGAGCAAAGCAACTCATTCTGTATCATTCAATTTTAAAATTCAAAAATTCAAAAAAGATCAAAACACGATAAAGTACAATAAAGTTGAAGTTAATTTAATGCGGCAGCAAAAAAAAAAAGGTACAATAATGTTGGCCGGTTTTTTCAAAATATAAAATTTTAATTTGCATCAAAAATTTTTTCATTACAAAAAAAAAAGATGAAATGATCGAAAGTGAAATAATAAGTTTGTTGTATTGTTTTTTTCTTCCAAGCATTTAATTAATCAATTTAATCAGTTAGCTAATCATTTTAGCTAGTCAGTCAGTTAATTAATCGTAGTGAAATAAGTTTGATTTATTGTTTTCTATGCATTTAATTAATCAATTTAATCAGTTAGCTAATCATTTCAGTTAGTCAATTAATTAATTATTCGTAGTGAAACAAGTTTGATTTACTGTTTTCCATAATCACTTAGCTAATCATTTCAGTTAGTCGGTTAATTAATTAATCGTTAATTCATTATATGAGTATTCAATTGTTTTTGTTAAAATACACACACACACACACACATATTTAGGATAACGAATAATTTATTCATCTACGCGGACAAATACACATACATACATACATATACACACAGAGACACAACTTCCTTTCCGGATATACCCATAAACCTTCCAGATATGTATAATAGATGAAGAGCAGACAATAACTACCGTACTTCTCGCTATTATTTGAATCAAATAAAAAAGAATGTGAAATAAGAAAGTAGAATTTAGAAATGAGAATGTGAAGAGAATGCTAAAACGGTAGCAAAATAGGATTGATGGAAAAAAAACATGTAAGAATGACCTAATAATAACATATCGATTGACCTTTGACTCCCATATTTGACCACTAACATATGGAAGATAAAACGAAAAATGATATGATAGAAAGTTAAAAAAGAATTATATCCATATATTAATGAAATCAAATAAAATAACAATAAAAATTGTTCTCACTGTATGAATGATGAAATTTCGAAATATATACCGTATCCCCTGAGCGTATCGGATATGTATTATAAGGTATGAAAATGATAGTAAGTTTAGATAAGAATTTAAAATGGAAAGAAAACGATTGATTTGATAATATGAACAATTTTCACTTAACCTATTAAACATCTTTCTGTAATTGCTATTTATTTATTAAACTATTAAGCAAAAAAATTTTCCAGATAAGTTCGTATTTAATAATAATAAGTTTAAATTAGGATTTAAAATTAAATGATAGTAAAAAACCATAAAATAAATCAAAAAATTATGCTAAAACAAAAAAAACAATTGCTATGAAATTAAATAATTATTAATTTAAAAAATGTGCTCAATTCTTTTTTTATAAAATATAAAATAAATAAATAGACTTTTAATTATATCGAGAAAATTCAATACAGTAAATGAATTGATGAATATTTTTTGGTGGTAAAAATTTTGACTAAAAGGAAAATTTTGTTGAAAATCACTATTTTTAAAAGAAATAATTATTAATTAAAAAAAATGCACTCAATCCTTTTTTATAAAATATAAAATAAATAAATGAACTTTTAATTATATCATGAAAATTCAATACAGTAAATGAATTGATGAATGTTTTCTGATGGTAAAAAATTTTTGACTAAAGAAAAATTTTGTTGATAATTAGCATTTTTAAAAGATTTTAAATTTTTTAAATTTATGCATACTTCTTAATTTTTAATGACATTTTAAAATTTAAAAATTTCATTCAAAATTTTCTCAATGAATTTTATTCATTAATTCAGATTGGTTTCCTTTGAAAGAAACATTCAATTGTAGATATTTTTAAGCAACAGGTGAGTTATTGATACTATATTATTTGTTGCCTACCTTATCTTATTTTTCTCTCATCCTCTCTCTCTCTTTTTTTTGTTCTTTTTTTTATTACCTTACAATAACAGGTGCACATGAATACAGATAGATTTTCGTTTTCAAAGATAACGCCATCATAATAATGTCTAATACATCTGCCGTATTCACCTACTGATTAGCTTTTCCGTTCCGGCTTAGTAAAGCTACTACGAATTCTTTTTCCTCCCTTTTTTATGTTTGTCTTTTTCCTTCATCAATCCTCTTTTCTTCGTTTTTACCGTTTTTATCCCTCAATCTTAAATCTCTTTTGGTAATATGCTGAAGAAATCCATTTTCCGCTCTATATTTTTCATTCCTTTTTTTATTAATAAATTTATAAAGCATTGAACCGAATTTAAAATGTATTATTATTCAGGAAATTTTTTTTAATATCTTCCGGCAAATACATTTTTAATACGAATTTCAAAAAAAGAATAAAGAAATTATTAATATATAACATTTAATGTTTTTTAATCAATTAATTGCATCTGTAAATTATTGATTGATTTTTTTAAATTCTGATAAAACTTTAAAGTTTTCAAAATTGTTCAAAAAAAAACAAAGTGGTACTAATCAGTTGATTGATTTATAAATACTAGTCCAAAGAAACAAAATAATACTAATCAGATGATTGCTATGTATTTTTAAATTTTCAAAATTTCACGATAATTCTAAAAGACATTTGTAATAACACGTTGCTTGAAATATATTCAAAGCAATGAAATCAAAACGATATATCAAAAAATTTCCTTCATTAGAATAAATTTTTAATCATTTTGAACGGTTATCATTTGATTTGAAAAAAGCTTTGCAATTTCCGATCCGATAAAATGTATTTTAATATTTTATTATAACAAAATATAAAACTCTGCAATGATACTTTGAACTTTAATCTTAACGTAAAATCAGAAGTGCTAAAGATTAATTGTCGACTTTCCAGTAATTAAAGCAATCCGTTTTCATCTTGCTATCAGCAATAACAATCGTGACAATACTGTCAACCATTTTTGTTAATCCGAAAATAGTAATGTGTTAATAGCTTAGAAAGTAAATAAAATAAATATATCATATTTGCATAAAATAAGTTATTAATGTAAGCCATTAAATGGTTGGTAAGCTTTAAAGAATGCTAAATTTAAATCTAAAAATCAAATTTAACACATGTAGTATTTTCCCGGCAATTTATCTAGTACTATTTTAGTATATACAATTATTCCCATTGCATATATCAATACATATGATGAGTTTAATCATGTAATAAAGCTCTCATAGATCTGACTTGATATGATATTTAGCAAGACAGTTATTATGAAATGCTAAAAGAAGTTCATACAAACTACACGCCAAAAAGATCCCATCAGCTTTGTTTAGCCTTCATTCAATTTTGTAGCTGTAAGATTGATTAACTGATCGAAACTTATCTACTATTATTTTAAAATGTGCAATAAATCCCATTGCATATATAAATATATGTATAAATGCATATGATGAATTTAATCATATAATAAATCTCTCATAGATTTAGCTTAATATGTTTTTTAGCAAGATAGTTATTAGTTCACAAAAAGTATACCCCAAAAAAGTCTTGTCAACTTTGTTTAGCCTTCAATTAATTTTGTAGCCATAAATCTTATAGCAATTGACTAACTGATCAGTGATGATTTTCAATATTGCAATTTTTAGATTTCATTCATAGAAGAAGAAGAGAAAGGAAATTTATCTATCCTAAAATTATCCTGAATTTTAAATGTTGAAATATTTTTAAATATTCAGATAATCTCATCCAATTTTACATTTAAGAGAAAGTTCCAAAAGGGAAAAAAACATTGAGGAAAACTTGAAATAAACAAAATTAATAGGAATTTTCTTAATAATAATGCAAATAAATTATCAAACATGCTTCATTTTTTTATGAAATTATTTAAGTTTTTTTTCTTATTTTATTTTTGCCATTCTAAAATTAAATTTAGTTTTAGGTTTTTTAACTTATCTAATATTAATTCGCATATTAACATATTTTATAAACCCTAAAATTCACATATTTATACCACAAAATAAAAAAATTAGAAAGAAAGAATAAAATTCAATTTAGTTTATCTTTTTTGATTTATCTAATATTAATTCATATATTGATATATTTTATACCATAAAATTCACATATTTATACTACAAAATAAAAAAAATAGTTGAAAAGAGTTTTGAAAAGAACTGGTCCCTTTTTCAGGAATTATTTATGAAGTTTTTTCTTCTTTTTTTGAAATGAAATGAAATAAAATTTATTTCATCGACTATTTTTCATCGTTTTTTAACCTACCGTAATATCGGATATTGTTAATGATGATGAGAATGTTATTCGATAGAAGAGAGACGAGAGGATGAAAGAATGAGAAAGAGAGAAGTGATAGAGGAAGAGGGAAAAATAGAAAGAATGAAAGAGAACGGAAGATAGAAAAGAAAAAAAGAGAGAATGAAGAGATATGATGAAATGAATAGATGAGATTTGGAAACGATTGGATGATTAGGACTGACTGAATGATTAACTGACTGCATGACTGACTGACTGACTGATTGACTGACTGGTTACAGGGATGAGAAAAGTATGTAAATTAATAAAAGATATATTATTAATAATATTATTTTTATACTATTACTAAAAACTAACCAATAAATTTTGCTCTTTTTCTTTTCTTTTTTTCTCTTTCTACTCTTTCTTTTTATATTCAATAATTTTTATCCAATCAAATTAAATCGGTTAAAGGAAGAAAAAGAAATGAAAGAAAGAAAAAAAGAAAAATTATGTCTAACAAAGAATAGAAAAGAAAATAATTAAAATATGATTGATGATATACTTTGAAGAGATATAAAAAGAAATGAGATATTAGAACATTTTGATTAAACAAAAAGAAAAAACGGATGGTTTTTGTTAATTAAATGACAATAATATTATTTCCGGAATGCCATAATGAAATGATAAATAATATTTCCGGAAAGGAAAATTGTGTCTAACAAAGAAAATAATTTAACTATGTTTGATAGATATTGAAGAGACATAAAAAGGAAATGATAACATTTTGATTAAACAAGAAGGAAAAATGTCGGATAGATAGTTTTTGTTAATGAAATGTTAATAATAATAATTCCGGAATGCCTTAATGAAATGATTACATCAATGCTTCCGGAATGCTTTCATTAATTTTCTAATTTACTGGAAATTTTTAGAACAATAGTTGTTCGAAAAGTGTAGAAAGTTGAAGAGCAAGAAGTTCACTGAAGTTATTTTGTGATAAATGATTTGATAATGTGAACAATAAAATTATAAGTGATTGTGAAAGTGTCCTATATTTTGAAATATATTTAAATTATTGAAATTTGATAATAGATTTACAGAGAGGAATGAAATTATGAAATTCAATTTCTTAAATTATTATTGTAAATAATTCAAAATTCGACTATTCAACAATATAGTAAATTCACCATTCGAACATTCATCAATGTAGTAAATTACAACTATTGTAATAATTTGAGAAATACTTATTTGAAGGATTTTGAAATTTATTAATTTATGTTTTTATATACCGACAAAAAAAAAGCTAATAGTAAATTGAACAAATAAACAAACTATACAGTAAATAACAAATGATTACTGTAATTAAAATTGAATAAAAATTCAGGAGTGTTTAATAAATCGAAAATAAAAGAAATTCGAGTTGAATTGCAGAAAGAGAAAGTAGTATACCTAGCATTGAATTACCTCCTCCCTGATTGCAAATAGAAAAAGAAAGAAAAGAAGCTCGGATGATCTTAACTACTCCAATTCTCAAAGAATTTGAATCGCGGATTCATCGGATGAGCGGTAGGAGATAAACTGCGACAAGTTTAGACGGGTCGAGGATAATCCGGAGGAATTCAAAGCTTAAGAATCCTAGTGAAGGCTTAATATAAGTATGCAACAGCAATAATTTAATTTCAATTATGTGATTTAAATTTTGAAGTTAGAAATAAAATTAGATTAGGTCAAATAAGTTTCGTGCAAAGCAGTTATAAATAGTAAATGCAATAAATAAATTATATCAATAATCGATTAAAATTTATTAGATTCTAATCATTTTAAAACAAAAGAATTATTACATATTAAAAATCATCCTAATTAATATGAAGAATGAAATTTGAAAAGATAAAAAAATTGCAAAATCGAAATTCAGTTAATTAATGAGTTTCTTAGTGGAATAAAAATGTATGTAAGCGTATATCGTTAGGTTTCCGAAATACATATGATAAAATCAATATGAAATATAATTACCAATATGAATGAATAATCATTATAAATATTAGTCTTTAAATAATTTTATTTAAATTGATAAATCTTGATTCAAATAATTGAAATCAAACTGAATTACAATAATTCGAAATCATCGATATCTAGAATATAAAACAACCAGTTGATTGTTCAGTTCGTTATAGTTCTTTAGAAAATCTTAAGTCATTCTTGATATCAACTAATTTATTATCATGATAATGATTACATTGTTGAAATATTATTTGATAAGTTCACTCTTAACATCGTAAATCACATCGCTATATTTTATAAAAATTATAAATAAGATACAAATTTGATTGCCAGATTTTAATTCTTTAGCAAGTTTACCTGTGTTTGAGTAAGTCCTAATCTGGAAGCAAGCTCAGCTCGTTCCGGTAATGCCAAATATTGCGTTTTATGAAACCTTTTTTGTAATTCTTGCAATTGCAAGCTAGTATATATTGTTCGAGGTTTTCGTACACGTTTCCCTTTGCCATTAATCCTAACTTCGCCACCTTCGATTATTTTTGTTGAATGCTCTGAAACAGCTAGAATTTTTCATATAAAATCTAAAGATAATGAAGAAAAAAATTTTTAGTTCTTTAAATTAAATTTTGATTTTAGATTTAAAATTAAGATTACTATAATTTAATTAAAAAATTTAGGAATTAATATCTAAATTTTTAACCTTTCAACTGATGCACCCTTGATAATATTAGCAAAAGAAACAACTAATAGTATACGATAAAGATGTTGAAGAAAAAATTCATTTAAAATTTTGCTAATTTGAAAAATATTTCAAAAATAACTATGCTAAAATATTTAATAAATTATTTATAATTTAATTCCTTTTATTATATATTAGAAAAAAATGTGAATTAAATTTTAAATATTATTATCATAAAATTAAATTAAAATCAAAAGAATTTTGCTTTGTAGAAATTTTACAACACGATGATTTTACATCAATACTAAAATTTTAATGATTTCGAATTTCATTTTCGTTGATATGTGATTATGATAAATTTATGATTATATTATTTATGATTATAGGATAGCTTTGGAAATAAATGATAAAAAGAAAATGAAAAACGAATTTGAAGGAAGGAAAGGGAAAGAGAAATGAGAATGAATCGAATTGCTTAAAGTTTCTAATCAACGTGGAATATTTTAAGTGACAGAATTCTTTTCAATTATTTCTAATAGATTATCATTAACTATCGCATAACTAGTTCGTTCTACATTTCTAATGATCCTTACCAGATTCTAACATCGATTTCAACATTTTTGCTTGATACATCAGGAAATAATAATTGGCCATCTAAGTTGAATTTTATAAAATTCATTTAGAAAAAAAGTTTCTAAGGAAGAAGTAAGACGATTAGAAGACTAATCTCAGTAGTAGTGATAATATTGATAATAATAGTAATGGCAATAATAACAATAATAATGATAGCGCTAACTTACTTTGATCGACTTAACTTCCAATCATTTTTTTATTGTTTCAAAAATAAATAACTTCATTCAATGAATCATTAATGATTCATTTGATTCTTATTATTACTAACGCTTAAACTTTTAAAAAGAATTCAAAAAATAATTGATAAAATGATGAAAAATTGATCACTGATAATTTTGATATACAAATTCATAAAATAATTTTGAAAGATTAAAAGAAACAAAAGAGGAAAAGAGAAGAAAGGAAAGATAAAACAACCGGATGATACAAAAATTTTTCTCACTTCTAATTTTTAAAGATCAAGCTGAGGACAGAGCAGAGAAAGGTGGTTATTGGTTAGAGTGCTTGGTTATAATTTGAATAAATAACCAATAATTATGGAACAAGGAAGGTTTAGGGCTGAGCCAGCTCAGTCTCAGAGAAATGAAAATATTTGAAGCATACTGGAAATAAAAAAGGGAGGGCGGGAGGGGAAAGGAGTAGATCCAAAGGCATTATTATTCTAATTACTCTAATGATCATCATTATCATCATTATCAACATCATCATCATCAGCAACATCATCAATATAATCATCAATGAAAGGCGCTACCTGTAATTTCCATAATTTATAACCATCTTGCCAAATGATTACTATTATTATTATTGTTATTATTATTATTGTTATTTCTTGATATAAATAGCGGTAAATTAGGGATTATCGCACTTTTTCACTTGTCTCCTCTTCTTTTATTTTTTTATGGTGTATTATGCAAATTAGATAGTTTCTTTTTCTTTGGTGATTTATAATATAATTACCTTCCGGTGAGCTAGCTGACTGTTGATGATACATAAAATGTGAAGCGGCACCGGATGCTCCGGTACCATATGGTGTACCGGATACGGTTGCAGCTGCAGCTACAGCAACTGCTGCTGATGCTGACGTTGGAAATGAATTCTGATAAAAATATGATGACATTGGCGCAGCAGTTCCACGTGTAAAATCATGACTACTACCGGCTGTACTAGTTGATGATTGTAATGGATTGTAACAATTCGATGGTCCAACACTATAAAGTGATTGTGGTGGTAATGGTGGTGGAGGTGGTGGTGGTGGTGGTAATGGTTGTGATTGTGGCGGTTGTTGTTGTGGCTGCTGTTGAGGTTGTTGTTGTTGCTGTTGTCCAGAACTTGTTGTACCATAATCTTGAAATGTTGGTGGTTTTTGATCCATATCCATATATTCTATTGCTGTTGTTACTCCTGTTGATAAGGATGATGATGATGGTAGTAATGTTGAGCCTATTCCACTTCCAATTATCGCTTCTGCTTCAATTTCACTTCTTATTCCAAATACAGATACTGTTGATCCTGTTGCTTCTCCTGTTGTTGTTGTTGTTGTTGTTGTTGTTGTTATTGTTGTTGTCGTTGTTGATATTGATAAGTCTGTAGAAGAAAAGGAAGAAATTCTATTAGTGATAGGTAAATTTAAACTGGCAATTTGTGAGGATAGTTGATGATACGTTTGCGGAGGTACGTCCTTATTGTTGTCCCTCAATGATGATAAAGACGACGAAGAAGACATTTTCAATAGTTGTCGTACCCATTCAACCGCCGAATCTATTCGATATGTTCAAACTACAGTGTCCCTTTCATACATACACACACACACACACACACACATACACACACATACATACATATATATATATACATTTGCATATATACATATGCAGACATGAATAGATATATATAGACTAATAGAATATTATTATCTATTCGAAAAATAAGAGAATGAAAAAAATTTTATAGAGATAGGATGCGATTGTTTAATGCCGCCCAATAATATGCGATGAAAGAATAGAAAAATGAGCATTGAAAAGAGAGGGAAATGATAAATGAAAGATGAAGAGTGTGACAAAAAGAGAAGATGGTGGAAAGATTTATGAACCGCCTACTGAATTGCTACCTCTGATTGGTTCTACCTGTTCAAGGCAAACCCATTCTAACCAATCTATCTACCGCATTTGTCCCTCTTCAATCTGTTCCATTTATTCAATCTTCACATCATTTACGTCTCTTTTACGCTGATTTTTCAGCTTTCATACATCTACGTGTTAAATACACGTACGTATGTCATCTTTACACGTACACGCATACATTTTTTATACGTGAATATATAAGACAGGTAATGATTTATAATATGATATTTCTTTTATGTAAATATAAACAGACATAAATGTATAAAAAATAAATCTAAGTATTATTAATAAATGCGTAAATGTATATGAGATATATGTTAATGTGTAAGGGATAAATATAAATGTGATGCATGGAAATTATTACGTGAATTTATGCATAAACGTGATCGTACGTGACATATATCAGATATAATATAAAAAACTCTAACATAAAATATAGATCTAACATAAAACACAATATATCATATGGTATATTATGTAAAAATATTACATAATAGATGTATAATATAAAATGCTATGTTGTATTACACGTGCATTAAATAAAATGTCGCATAATACGTGTATAAATATGAATTTTCGCAGGATACGTGTAAATGTCGCATGATACGTGCATAATATAAGATACCACATTTAAATATGAAACATTACCAAGAAACTAATCGCTTATACATGCAAACGAATACATTTAAAAATTATGAAAAAAAATAAAACACTGAAAGAAAGTTTGAAATATAATTTTATGCTGGCATATGTGCGTACATATGCGGTCCGATGCACATCCTTGAAGTGAGTTAGTGGACAGGCGTGCACACATAGACATGTGCACACAGATTCGCAAACACCCACATGCATGCACACACATACGAATATACACATACACACACATATATACATGTATGCATAGGTAGCATATATATAAATATATGTACTACACATTGATATAAAAGATTTATGTAGAAATATAAATTTTCTAATTACAAGTTTAAAATTTAATTTTTCACTTAATTGTTTCTAAATATAGATATATAGGTAGAGTTGTATAAAGGAATAAAATGAAAGAAAAAGAATTTCTGATTAATTCGATTTTTATCACAAAAAGGACGCTTCAGTGATATGATATTATTGATAAAATGTCTGCTGCTATGATTAAAAAAAATTTTTTAAATTTTAAAATTTATAATTACATGTTTTAAAAAATTAATTATTATAGGTAAACTAATTTAAAAAAAAACTAATACCGACACGTGTGAGTTCAATTTTTGTTGATGAAAAATTAAAATATATTTAAGAAACTTATTTTCGCTAATCTTTTAAATACAGTTTTTTATTAATTTCAATTTCAATTTTAGTTCTAATTTTAATGTTTAAGACATAACAACACTTATAAATATATCGTGGAAAATTTCGTGGAATCCATCTTTGAATTCAACTATCTTATAAAATTACATCAAATTCGCTGAACTATGTAAAGAGTGAAAGAAATTATCATTTGAAAGAAGTTTTTGATTATTTGAAATTATCGCAAAGTAAAAATTAATATTTAAAAAATTAAATTCTATTATTTCATATAAAAGTTGCTGACACCTAAGAATTAAAAATTGTATAAATAAAATTTAAAAAAGAAACTTTATACTTACAGGAATCATTTTCCTGCATTTAAATTGTATAATTTTAGGAATGAAATTTTTGCTTTCCAAACATTTCTATGATTCTTCAAAAACTCAAATTCCTTTATCGATCGATTCTTTATTATTTGAATTTCTTCCCACTTTCCATCTAAAACAAATTAGCTTTTGTTTTTTGCTTCTCCATATTTGATAATTGAATTAATATCAATTCGTTAATTTGAACATAACTTATTTTTGTAATTTCCATATGTTTCTCTAATTCGGATTTCCTCAAAAATGCGCATTTCATATAGGTTTGCCTAAACTACTGATTCAATGTCGAATGAACTTGCCTATAATAATTGGCTAAAATTTGGTTGACTCAAATTTTCCATTAAAAGCTAAATGTTACGTCGTAACTCTAAAATATCACTTTTGCGATTACTTCTTAAATGTTGAAATTAAAAAAAAATTATTTACCAGAATTTCTAAAATTTCCTGATCCATTGATTCATTAATTCAATTGTTTTCATTTCAACCAACAAGATTTATCGATTCATCTGTTTTATTATTTGTTAGTACCAGTATCTGCAACATTTTCGTTTCGTCTCAATTTATAAAATCAATAAAAACAAAGCGTTGTTTTTTATAATTCGAAAAATCTTTATTAATTAATTATTCAGTTATTAATTCCAATTAATTAAAACAAATACCGTTTTATTTTTTGCTGACATTATCATTTCATTGTTTTAATTTGCAACCAATTTCAAGTATTCAGTAACTGACATTCATTAATTACATTTCTTCATTTTACGACATTTTAGAACATTGTTCAATCTAAAAAAAAAAGGAAATTTTAAATACTTAAATCAATAAATTAATGAAAAAACAATAAATGACTTAATGAATGAATAAAATAATAACAAACAAAATTTGAAAAGGTGGCAACAAGGAAAAACAAAAAGAAGAAAAAAGTAAAGAATTTACATCTTTTTTTAAAAACAAAGTAATTGATAATATTTTAAATATTGACTTGCTTATACTTTGAATTTTTATAATTTCAAAATTTTATTTTATCACCAAATTGATAACAAAACCTATGATTTTTCAGTTCTGTTAATATATCTAATTTTACATATTTCATCGTTACAAAAAAACAACGTGTTTAAATGCCTAAAAAAATTATGAATGTATTTCTAATTAATTATTTTAATTTATTCAATAATTAAAATTTCTACAATTTTCAACAGAATATGATAATAATTATTTGCCGTTTTTATTTTTGCAAAAAATTTATCAACAATTTTGCTGATAAATTTATTATCAAATTATCAATTCTTCATCAAAATTAAAGAATAATTTCAAAATGTTCATATTCAAAATTCTCTTATTTATAAGAGAGTTATTTTTAAAAACATTATGATAATATTTTATATTATATAATCTATATATGAATATTGATCAGTAAATATACATGAAAATAAAATCTGAAGAAATGAAGGGCAAATAAGAGAGAAAGAGAGAGAGAGAGAGAGGTAGTGAAAGGAAAAGAAAGAGAATATAACAGTTCATTCTAAAAAAATAAATAAAACGGAAGAAAGCGATCAACTTGTAAATTTAACTGGTAAACAGACGAACATAAATAAATGTTAGTTTGAATAAATTTGACGGACAAACCAGAAACGCCAAAGGGTGTAAAACTGTCGCCCGGAAAGTTGACTAAATTACCATCACAACTAAAATGACATATAATTTGCGTACATGTATATTTATATATATATACATATATATTTATCGGTGTGTGTGTTTGTATGTGTATGTGTGTATGTGTGTGTGTGTGTGTATGTTTATGTTAGTGTGTATGGACCGATAACGAATAAGGATAATGACTGGTAATTATTGGTTAATTTATCCTCAATGCTTATAAACACATCGAAATTGAATACTATTTTAGTAACCTTCTCTTTTTTTGTAAATAACAGTAATATTACTGATAAAGTAAATCAAATAATCAATAACTAAAATCATATTTATATATTTGTATATATACATATAAATCAATAATTAAATTAGGTATATTACATTTTAATTATTAATTAATTATTTTTTTCTCATACGGAAAATAAAGCTGTCATTTATTTCGAATGAATTATTTTTATTCAATTAGCAAAAGTAAAAAATCTATCCATAATTATTATATTATTATTAGTGATAAGAATTTTTTTGCATAATTTTAGAAAGAGTTTTTAAACAAACTTAATCTTCAAAACTTTTATTAATTAATCTCCCGTTTGTTTACAAATTCATTATTGCTAATTATTATTATTTGCATCGTATTTTTTTTTTCGCAATATTTATTATTGCATGCAGAATTTTGCATGCAAATTTTTGCATGCAAATATAATTTTTGTTTGGGTAGTGGTAAAAAAAATTTTCTGTCATTATTTGAATTTTATTCCGTTTTTGCTCGTTATAGGGGGGGGGGGGAATGAGTAATGATCGATCTCTTCTTGCAAACCACAATTATGAGCGGATTAACTGGCAATGCAATGCCACACCCAATTTATTTGCATTCCGGATTCTGTATCCTTATTTTTATATCATTTGTTGTCATCTGAATTGTTACAAACTTCTATGCAGTCATTTTATTTTTCATCTTACTCAATTAGGCTTACATCTTATTCAATTAGGCCTGTTTTTGAAACTATATTGTAGGATTTGCTTCTTGTTTTAAATTTGAAAATTTTCTTATTGATAATTTTAGATTAATCAATTTTGGTGATTATCTTACTCAATTAGGCTTGTTTTTGAAACTAGCTGTAGGATTTGGTACTTTTTTTAAATTTGAAAAATTTCACATTGATAATTTTAGATTAACCAAATTTAGTGATAACCCCAAAAAAAAGAATGATCAAATAATTTGAGCTGATATCATTTGTAATAATTTTGGAACAATAATAATGATATTTTTAGATTAATTTTAATTTTAATAAAAATTTTCTGATCAAAGTTTTAGCAATTTAGCAAAATTAAATCGATGAATGGAAAAGAAAATGCACCAAAAATTTTCGTAATTATTTTTTTATCTTAGTTTTAATTAGTAAACAAAAGGAAAGAAAAACGAGGATATGTAAATTATTTTAGAATTTTATTTTTTATCTTTTCAAATTTCTGCAAAATTTTTAATAGCTAATTAATTTTGTTAATTTTATTTTACAATTGATAAATTTAGCTCAAAAATAATCCATTTCAAATAATGAATTAAAATAATAATTGGAAAATTATTTTGCGAAAAAAGATATTAATTAATATTTATCTAAACAGATATATATATTTAAGTAATTGAATAATATTTAATAAGTTATTTGATGTAATATTAATTATTCATATATTTTATTATGAATCCTTTCTTCCTTTCACTTTTACAAAAACAATAGAGTTATTAATTATATTATTATTTTTATAATTAAATAATTTAAATTGATAAATTTTATTGTTTTGAAAATTTTCTCTATTCATTAAAAATTCTTACAAATCATTTTCTTTTTTTTTTTCAGTTAATTATTGTCCTGAATATTTTGCGGCATTATCACTTACGTATCAAAAATTGCATAACGTAATATATTGATACATATAAATATGTATATGAATATTATGTCCTTGAGGATTACCAAATCAGTAGAAAGTATATATATATATATATATATGATCAGATTGTTCCTATGCCTGTTATCGATGATTAAATCTTATCGCAATCGTAAAATGTCACCCATCACAAATGTAACTAACACATTGACATGTCCATCTGTCATTTGGTGGTAAGGAAGAATTGAATTTATTCCCATAACAATTAATTGACAAATTTTTTTCCTTGTGAAAAATTCCTTCTTAGTTCATTAAAATATGTTAAAAGAAGAAAGAGGAAAAACGAAGAATCAAAATAATTTGATATGATATGATTGATAAGACTAATTTATTTTATTAATTAATTGATAATTAATACTTATTAAGATAGAAATAAATAAATAAGGTGTAACTTTGCTAAATATAAATTTTTATTTTTCTTTATTGAATACTTTTGTTTTAAGTGATAAAATATGTGGAATTATTTATGATATCATATCAGTTAAATTTTTGGTTGTATTTTTTCTTTCTTTTTTTTTAGGTGATTATTTAATTGATTTTAAATGAGTTAATTTTAGGCTTTACTAAA